GATTATTTAATTTATTAAATAATTTTATTACAACATAATAACCTCACAATTTCGCACAAAGCAAAAAAAAAAAAAAAAACTACAGAAAAGTGCAAAGCATGCTACTGTTTATATGTTTGCCCGGCACCGATTCACATTCAGCAAAGCTTAAAAATCCGGAGAAAGAAAAGTGAAGTTATTAGTAAACATGCAGCTAAAAATGAACAAAGAAGAAAACTACATACCTTCAAAGTCCACTTCTGTACTTGTAGGTCTCAACCAACGTTGATTCATGTCCAACGAAGCCTAAAAACCCAGAGAAAGAAGAGTTAAGTTGGTAGTAAACATGCAACCAAAAAAAAAAAAAAAAAAACTATATATTTTAGGTGTTACTTCTGCACTTATACGTTTGTCCGTGCTGATTCACATCCATCGAAGTCTAAAGACCCGAAGAAAGAAGGTGGAATTAGCAATAAACAAGCAACCAAAAAAAGAACAAAGAAACTACATACTTTCTGAAGGTGCCACTTATACTTTTCTCAGTGCTGATTTATGTCCAACAAAGCCTGAAAACCCAGAGTAAGAAGAGTGAAGTTATAGTAAGCATGCTGCTAAAAAAAAAAACCAAGAAGAAAACAACATACCTTCGAAGGTGCTACTTCACACTTATACATTTGCCTGGTGCTGATTTACGTCCAGTGAAGTCTAAAGACCCAGAGAAAGAAAAGTGAAGTTAGTAGAAACAAGCAACTAAAAAGAACAATGAAGAAATTACATACTTCCCGAAGGTGCCACTTTTCTTGGTGCTGATTCACGTTCAATGAAGCTTGAAAAAAAAGAGCAAAAATACCTTCGAAGATGCCACTTTGCACCCGGTGCTGATTCACGTCTAGCGAAGCCTGAAAACCCAGAGAAAGAAAATTAAAGTTAGTAAAAACAAGCAACTAAAAAAAAAGAACAAAGAAGAAATTACATACTTTTCCAGTGCTGATTCACACTCAACGAAGCCTGAAAACTCGGAAAAAGAAGAGTGAAATTAGTAATAAGCATGCAACTAAAAAAAAAAGAGCAAAGAAGATATCTTCGAAGATGCCACTTCGCATTTATATGTTTACCTGGTGCTGATTCACATCCAGCAAAGCCTAAAAACCTGGAGAAAGAAAGTGAAGTTAGTAGAAACAAGCAACTAAAAAAAAGTTCAAAGAAATTATATACTTCCTGAAGGTGCCACTTTTTATGGTGCTGATTCAAGTTAAATGAAGCCTGAAAACTTGGAGAAAGAAGAATGAAGTTAGTAGTAAACATGCAACTCAAAAAAAAAGAACAAAGAA